TCTTTAAAAACAAAAATGATCATATCAATATTCAATTCTTCGTATGGTTAGCTGTCAAAATCTAGTCTTTGCAAATTAAAAACTTATGAATGGCAAACAACATAATATAGTACAAACTAAAAAAGAGTTTAATATGCCCTTTCGCTACAAACATTTAGCCACATATATTTTTGAAGTTAAAACTTATGAATATAATTTTCGGAAATTCCAAAAACTTACTACTGTCGGAAATCCACTTGGTTATGCAATGTAACTCACAAAGCTTGGTCTATTGTGGTTTATGGGCCTGATGATGCTCGTATATGCCAATCAACTAATCATTTCGTATTCACACGTTTTCCTTTTGTTAAGCTCAGATCAATGGGATTTATGTACACTCTCAAACCTTAGTTTGACCCCCACAAAAGTACACTCAAAACATTATTTTTTTGCATTGTAATAGTCAGTTTAATTACGTTATTTTTTTTTTTTTAAGTTTGATAGCGAGGTCCTTTTTATACAATACACAACATTTACTAATCTTCTAAAAATGTTTATTTTTCTCGATAAGAGTAGGTGAATAAAATGACGACATTGTAAGCTCATTCCAATGAACCACTTGTGACCTTTCTCGGTCGTGCACACACGCAGTGATTATTCTCCGACTCTTCCTTCATCAAAAACACAACTCCCATCTATAACCCTTATAATTGTTGGTTTCAAGTTCGCTTTAATTATATCATCTACTGTCTCTAACGAATCTTGTAATGTCTCTCTTACAGGTCTGAAACTAATTAACCTTCTTAATTACCTTCTTCCATTAAGTTTTTCTCCTCACATTTTTTTTTTACATTATAAATGTTTTCAGGATTTCTTGCAGTTTCTCCAACCATTATCTTCTACATTAACAAAGTCGTTCACAACTAGCTGTGACTCGGGCGAGTCAGACCCGTGTCGAGATGACTCAGCTGCTCTCACACTCAAGTTTGCAGCTATGGCTTCGATCCTCATCGCCGGAGCAGCCGGCGTCTCGATCCCTCTCATCGGTACTTCCCTCCTCCCGTCAAACGGCGGTTTAATGAGAGGAGCCAAAGCGTTCGCCGCCGGAGTTATACTCGCAACAGGGTTCGTTCACATGCTCTCCGGTGGCTCCGAAGCTCTTTCCGATCCATGTTTGCCGGAGTTTCCATGGAAGATGTTCCCTTTCCCTGAGTTCTTCGCCATGGTCGCAGCACTTCTCACTCTTCTTGCAGATTTCATGATCACTGGTTACTACGAGAGGAAACAGGAGCAGTTGATGAACCGGTCGGTTGAATCACTCGCTCTGCATGGTTCGGTTGTGTCGGATCCGGGTCGGGATATTGGATCGGGTCTTCTTGAGTCGGGTTTTTTGAGGGATCATGAAGATGGTGAGAAGTTGCATATAGTGGGGATGAGAGCTCATGCGGATCATCACCGTCATAGTCTCTCGATGGGTCCTGATGGTTTTGAGGCTCTTGCGAAGAAGAGTGGTGGTGCTGGTCATGGTCACGGGGACGTTGGTTTGGACAGTGGTGTTAGGCACGTTGTTGTGTCTCAGGTACGTAAATACTTTTCATAACTCTTTTTTTGTGTGTGTGTGGATATTTCTAAGTTTGACGTTATATTTTCGTAAGCTTGACTTTTTAGGTATTCTACATTTTTATGGACTTAAATAGTAGTTGACATTTTGTATAAGAAAGTTAACAATTCATCCGTACGAATTTTTTCAATAGTAAAACTTTTATCAAAAAAAAAACAATTCATCATCCTTTCAGAGAAATGTAAAAGTCTCTCTATTGTGCAAGAAAATAAGGAAATGAGATTTTATTTAAAAGGTATGGCATTCTAATAATAACTTTCATGATTTTACAACTCGAACAGTAAAAAAAAAATTCAGAGTTGTTGCATGAAAAAATAACTAATCACTTAACTCATTTCAATAAAATTGAAAGAATAATATAACTTCTTTCGATTAAAATGTGTGTTATAAGTTATAACAAGTGAATTTTCTATTGCATTTTAAAGTAATGTATATCTTTTCAGTACATGGACATTTGACTTATTATTAGTTTGATTATTTATTACAAAAATAACGATTATATTTCACAAATAATTTTCATAGCCGTTTCTAACAAACATTATTTATCAAAGCAAAAAAGAAAAGTATGTAAACATTGATATATATAGTACCTAAAATGATAAATGACTAGTCAACCAATTTCGTTTATGAAATACCTTTCTTGATCCTTGATCGTCGTTTTTTTTTGTTTTTGGGTAACCATTTCTTGATTGTCGTTGCACAAAACTCAGATTACCTAATGGTACGTTTTTTATTTTCTTTTTCAGATACTTGAAATGGGAATAGTATCACATTCAATAATAATAGGAATATCACTTGGAGTATCACATAGCCCATGCACCATACGTCCTCTAATTGTCGCTCTTTCCTTCCACCAATTCTTCGAAGGTTTTGCACTCGGTGGCTGCGTCGCAGAAGCAAGACTAACCCCGCGAGGATCGGCCTTGATGGCTTTCTTCTTCGCGGTCACTACTCCAATCGGTGTGGCCGTGGGAACGGCCATTGCCTCATCTTACAACTCCTATAGCGTTGCGGCTTTGGTGGCTGAAGGAGTGCTCGATTCGCTCTCTGCGGGAATACTTGTATACATGGCGCTTGTCGATTTGATCGCTGCGGATTTCTTGAGCAAGAAGATGAGTGTTGATTTCAAAATTCAAGTTGTTTCTTATTGCTTTTTGTTTCTTGGAGCTGGGATGATGTCTGCTCTTGCTATTTGGGCTTGATCAGGTTTTCACTCCTTTTTTTTTTTGCTGAAGAATAAAGGAAATCAAGCTTTTAATAATCTCTTAAGAAAACTGAATTCGTTTTCTTTTTGCATTTGCGCGTCGGAAATTTATCCATGGTTTACAAGATGTTTGTTGTTTGTTGTGTGATCTATTTTTGAAGTAATAATTGGACTAAATATGTTTATTACTTGGTCTCTTGTCATGCTCATCAATACGTATGACGTGTGCGATGAGTTGAAACCGATTCTCCATGACATTCTTTGTTTGAAGATTCTAGAATAGTTTCACTTCTATCTTTTCGACATTTATTCCGAGATCGGTCAATGTTACCGCCGATACTCTAGCCAAGTCGGCTCTTGTAAATTGCAACATAAACTCGATCCCTTCGTGGAGACTAAGCTTTATCAATATAATCGGTTTGATAAAAAAAAAAAGTTTATTATTTGGTGTTTTGAGGTTTTATATAAATAACTCTTTAGGTTTGCTTTTATAATTTACAAAGTCAATAACAAAAAACTCTAGACAAAGTACATTTTTCTCAATTTCGATTATGTTTTGCTTTTACTTAAATTTCATCGAATTTATTCATCCGAATTCACATTAGGTTTTAATCCGTTTAGAGTTAGCTCTAAATGAATATAACTCTCCTTTTTCTTTTGGGTACAAACTATATCATTCGGCTCTTTCGCAACCACATCATTTTCTTTGTCTACACATGAAAAAGCGAGGACCAGTTGGTTCATGGCACACTTATCAGMAATTGTGTTCCATGATCTCCTTATAATTTTCATGTTTGCTTTAGGCCAAGAAAACAATTTAGAGTAAACATCACATTCTAATCCTTTGTACAAAGTGTTTTCTTAAGGAAATCAACAAAAACAAAAAACAATCATGAATAAACTTTTGCAAAAGTAATGTTATCTCTTAAGATTTATTTTTCTTGGAGGGTCTAAATCGAGAATATTTTCATTTTCTGTCGTATATTTTGGAGGACGATAGTTCCCATGTTGTATGATTAACAAATGACAAACCCTA